ATGGTTTCGGGGTGTCTAATTTGCCGGATTGCCATGTAGTTTCCAGCAGTTCTCCTTGGTGTAATATGGTTTTTTACAATGATCACACCACTTTTTATTAATTTTTTCTTCTCCTTGCTTCTCTTGTCCACGGACAACCAATGTAGAATTTTCCAAGATCTGCATATTTCCTCCGAGCATGACCCTCTTCCTTGATTCCTCTCTACGTACTTCTACAAAGATTTCTTCAATTTGCGGTAGAGGTCTCATTCCAAGCAGTCAACCTCGGACTTCATCCAAGTCCTTGTTAAGTCCAGCGAGGAAGTCATATATTCGATCTTGATCAACCATTCTTCTATACATGACTGCATCATCAGGGTCTTTCCACGAAGGGGATGAAAACAGGTCTAACTCTTGCCAGAGTTTTGTCAACTCATGATAGTATTGTGTGAAATCACCCCCTGTTTCAAATTTCTTACCTTGTTCCTTAGTTCAAACATCTGTGACGTATTCTCCAAATCAGAATAAGCCAAATTGACTGCATCCCAAATCTTCTTGGCCGTGGGAAATAGGATGTAGGTGTCTGCGATGTTGTCTTCCATAGAGTGAATCAACCATGCCATCACCATAGAGTTTTGTGCTTCCCAATTCTCATATGAAGGATCTCCTGTTTTAGGCTGCAGAATTGTGCCATCCAAATAGCCTAGTCTTCCTTTTCCTCGTAAGACCATTAGTACCGATCGGGACCACTTGAGAAAATTCTTTCCATTTAACTTGTGGGTGGTGATTTGAAGGGATAGATTATTAGAACTCTCAGGAACTGAAGTGACAAGTGGGGAGGCAACAGTGGGAGCAATTGTGGAGATAGTTTAAGAGGACACTTCCTTAAAAACATCGCCTCCGCTTGCTCCACTCAACGCCCTTTTATATGCTACCATCTACAACTCGAAATTCTAGAACTCCTAGACTTCGCCTGGCTCTAATACCATATAGTAAGAATTTGAAGCGATGGCAGAGGAAAAAGGAAAAACACTGCTTCTTTTTATTCACACATATTCAACCTCTACATTAGTCTCTTTATATAGGAGAAACCGGCTGGTTTAAATAAGGAAAACAATCATAACACATAAAAGACAAATCACAGAGAATATCATAAAATAACTAATCCCTAGTCTCTAGGAATATTCCGTTTTGAATCAGCTGCAAATCCTCCTAAACAGCTACAAATCCTCCTCCATAATTATCCTATATTCGGTAACAGTATGTTTATAGGTTGTACAGTTTTATTTTTTAATCAATGAAAAAGGGAATTATTCCTCCAAAATCCTAGATGGTATCCGAGCCTCTCAGTCAGGCTAACGAAATCTGAGGGAATACACACCTCAATTGTCGGAGATGGCAAAGAAAGCAGGGAAGGTCAGGAGAAAACCCTCAGCACCAGCCAGGTTGTACATCCAACTGAAATCCTGCAATCCAAATCACTTCACATAGGCTGAATGGAGAGAATTTTCTTCTATGGGCATAATCTATGAAGTTCTTTGTTAGCGAAAGAGGCAAGATGGAGTCGCTCGATGGTACGCTGAGAACTCCATGGTTATGGCTTAGCTGATTAATTCAATGGAACTTTTTTTTTTCTGAAAAGAAATGAAAACTTTTATTAAATAAGAAAAATAGGACGAAGGAGCTAATATCCTCTTCAAAACTACCTCCAACTATACATAAAAAAAAAGGCAGATTAAAACATACCAATCAAAGAAACGACTATAAAAATTGACCCCAGTTCCTAGCAAAATTTGAAAAATTTGTGCTTGTTCATTTCACCAATTCGAGTTTTCAATTCCAATTTTGCTACAGTTAAAAGCTCTCACAAAAAGTCACATCTAACTTATTCTGCTACAGTGAAAAGCTCTCACATAAAATCACATCTCAGCTCGAATTGAAAACTCGAATCCGCGTACTGAACGAGGCCTTGGTTTCCCAAACTCCTTATCTCTATACACCCAATACTTTATTTTGTCGCAAATTATATTTTCATCCCCCCCTTGATCCTAAAAAATTCTGCTATTCCTCTCCAACCTTAAACCCCAAAAAATAGCTAAAATTGCTGCTCTCCATAAAATCAGTCTCCTTTGACTAAATCCAGAAGCTGGAGAAAAAACCAACAAATCAGCACAGTTCCTCAGCATCACCGAAGGAAAACCAAACTCCTTTAGGAGAGAAGACCATATCTTGCGAGAATAAGAGCAATGAAAAAAGATAAGATCAGTTGTCTCTTCATCGGCCTTGCATAAATAGCACCATCCTAGGGACAACAAGATAAATGGGCTCCGGCGTTGCAAGACTCATGAGTATTCACTTTATTAAGGGCTAGAAAGCAAAAAACTAAACCTTTCTGGGGGTATGCGTTTTCCATATATTTCAAAAACTGGAAATCTCGGAGATGAAGAGTCATTAATCAATGAGGAGAATAGCGATTTAACAGAGAACAAACCACTATGATCCAACATCCACTCCCATTTATTCTGTATAGATATGAGTACCCTAAACCGCTCCACCGTAGCAATTAACTCCGACACCTCTCTCAATTCCTTGTCTATTAAGTTTCGTGAACAACTAAAATCCCAAGAACTAACTCTTCCATCCCAAGAATCCAATTCAAGAGCAAAAGTAGCTACCGGTTGGCCTTTAAATGAAGAGATTCTGTATAGGGCGGGGAATTTTAAACACAAAGGTCCTCCTTCACTCCAATTATCCTCCCAAAATTTGACAATTTCTCCTGAACCAATTTTCCATTTAACCCTTTGGCAAAAAATATCGGTCACCGACTGTATTGATTTTTAAGGACATCTAAAACTAACTCTTGATGGTTGTCATCGTTCAATCACTTCCTTTTCCACTAAGTGATTGCTTAGGGACCTTAGCGTACAATCTCGGCTATTTCCCTCTCGACTTTGGATCTTAGCACCCCAAAAGTCTGTCTATACAAACGATCTAGGCCTGTATTCGGAGTTTCCCTAGGGTTGGTAAGGCGAAATTGGGCCACCTTAGCCCATTGAGTGCTCTACCTCGGGCCATCAACATCATACGCTCTACTGAAATAGATTTCACGAAAAATCAGCTATATCCGATCTTGGTTGGCCTTTCACCCCTAGCCACAAGTCATCCCTATATTTTGCCACATACGTAAGTTCGGTCCTCCAAGGCGCTGCCCCTGAATCACCTTGTGTGATTGCTCTAGCCCTCTCGCTCAATTCTGTAATGATCTATTATAATGCATTTAATAACTTATATCATGATTGATTTTTATCAAGATGCATAATGGAAAGATCCAGATGATCATGCCATATACAACAGATTGGTTGAAAAAGATTAGGTCTTTAAATTTTTGTCGGGCCTGTAAGATGAATTTGATCAAGTTCAGGGTCGGGTTCTGACCTTCACCAATTCCGTCACTTCGGTAAGTCTTCAATGTCATCCGGAGGGAAGAAAGTCAGATAGGGGTCATGGGTGGAACAAAAAGGCTCCAAACAGAGTGCTCTACGCTGGCGGCGACAAATCAGTCTAAATCAACTTAGAAAAACCATCAGCCTATGTTAGCTCACAAAAAATACAAGGAACAAGATGGCAAGGACCACCTTCAATATGACTGCTACCAAAAGTCACGCCATACTTGCAAAACATGCTGAAAAATTCATGGAAGACCATAAAATTCTAGATGAGTGCTGGTCGTGGATGGAATAACAACAATGGAAGCCGAGGTTTCTAGGCTGCCACTGAGCCTCAGAAGCAGTAAATTCCCGGAGAGACCGAACTGCCAAGATTCACCAAGGAACATGATATAATCCGGGTAGTTTGAAACAAGAATGGAAAAGATGCAGGGCAAGAATGAGCTAGAATTTGCTCTATTCTATATTAACTTCAATGAAAACGCATACAAAAGTAAAGGATAAATTCGCAGACTATTGGAGAGGTCTGCTAGCTCTCCCTCCTAACCAATCTCTTATGACTAACCAATTGCATGCCTCCACCTCTCTTCCTCTCATCTTTTATTTCACGCTAACAACAAAAATAACAGAATTGCCTAACAAATTCTAACAGCCTACACAATCCCGAGGCTCACCCTTCTAACCAACTTCCTCCTCGGGAATTCCTTCAGCAACCTGCACAAAATCCCCTTCCTGCCCTTGGCCTTTCGTCTGGGCCTTCAGTCTCCTGGCACTAGTGAATTGGACTAGGGCCTTAACATTACCCGCCGCCCAAAGTTTCACCTTGTCCTCAAGGGGAAAGGTCGGAAACTGCTGCTGAATGGTGGAAAATGGCTCCCAAGTAAGCCTCAAAGGCGGGAAGCCCACGCTATTGGAGCAGCACTTCAAGCACACCCGGTTGACCATCCGTTCCAGGGTGAACTCCTAACACCTGTTCGTAGCACCGGAATCAGCCCCTTACAAGCCGAAATCGCGAGGCCCAGTCCAAATCGGTCCGGAATCAGCCCCAACCGCGACCGAAACAGGGATGGGTTCCCTGTTCCGAGGGTGCCCATGCCGTCCTAGTCCCAGAGCAAGCCTCTCCTCCTCTAACTCCGGCTCCCACTCCGATTCCCGTCGCCGAACAAGCTCCGCCGCCCTCTCCTGACGGTCGCGACCTCCGTCCGCCCTCCTCCCGTCGTCAAACAACCCCTCACGCTGCAGATCCGGACCACCCAGCCCCAGATCGCGACGGATCTCGCACTCCTCCATGAGACCCATGTCTCTTCGGCGTCGGAACTCCCTCTCGCGGCCTCGATCTTCGCAAATCGGCGCTTCCCGGCGAAGATCCACCCGATTTGGCACCTCCACTCCGCCTAGGTCGACACGATCCGGGCTCTCCTCGCCCCGAGATGCGCGATCTCGCCTCTCCCCGTCCCGTCGTTCGCCGTCGCGACCCAACTCGGCCTTCCCAGACATTGGCCGTGCCGCCAGCAGTGCCTCCATCCTCCGTAGCACCGCCTGCACGTCTTCCATCTGAGTTCGAACCTTCCCCACCTAGTCCCGGAGCCCCCCCATACTCCCTCCCGAAACCTTGAGATTAGCTCTTAGAACAGCCCTAAGTTTCTCTCTTAACTCAAAAGGCTCCATGGATCGTAGATGCTCTGATACCATTGTTAGGATCCTGAAAATCTATGCTTCATTAACAATACTAGAAATGAAAAATTACAAAGATAGAGGGGCGGT